CCCCAAAACCCCAAAACCCCAAAACCCCAAAACCCCGCGTTCTTAAATCAGCATTGATTTATATTTTTAACAAATATGAGCAGAAGGCAACAACTTTTAAATCAAGGCCTTAAAAGGCCTAAATTCACAGAAGATGAAGGTTGCAGAATAGTAGGGGAGCGCTTTCACTCAAATTCCTTCATATTTGTAAGATCTTAGCTTTCTATTATTTTCTTTGTTTGCAGATTTTCAGTGGGCTAATTTTGTATAGAGACAACCTAATAATGCCTCTGATGAAACTATAAGATTTCCTAATGATGCCAATCCCAACACCCAAAGAAACCATAATGCTACTAATCTAAGAGCGGCAAGTCAAGGCACAAGTAGTGTTAGAAATATTTATCGAAGACTTGAATCTCAAAAGGTATGCTTACATTATCACTTATTTAGAATCAAAAAGCCTCAAGTAAGGCTCCTTCAAGCAGCAACAATAGGTAAGGAAAACTACAAAATATAATATCTATGATTTGGACCTCAAACACGATTAACGTTGTATAGTTTCGCTGGAAGCTCGATCTTTAAGAACAACTCACAGTCTCTCACCCAAGGCATCAAGGGCTTCTCTGAAAAATTTAGCAAGAGAAAGCCTTACAATAGGTTTTCAGATAATTATGGAAGCCGATCTTGGGGTATGAGCAATAAGTTCTCATGGAACAACAGCAGGTCCTCAAGTGGAAACTCATTAGTAGACTTCCTGGCTAAGAAACAGTCATCAACGTATGATCAACAGAAGGCAATCCAAGCTGAGAGAAAGTATCAAGCGAACAAAGAAAAAGTCGATAAGCGGTAAGTTAATCTTTTTAAACTAAGCTCATTCTAAATTCATGACGATTTAATGACATTCTCTTAGCCTACTACTTTGTGATACCTTGTGTTAACCTTACTGTATAGCTGGGAGAAGCACTTCCAGAAGTCCAAGAATAAGGTCAAGAGTAGTGATAGGGTTTCAATGAGCTCTCAATCAAGAAGTTCGTTTGAAAAGAAAAGGGAGCAAAAAGAGCAAGAAAAGGGTAAGTCATTATTCACTCAGTTTTAATCTATTTGACCATCCATCATTATACTCAATCTAGGAGCTCCATTTCACTCTGGTCAATATGGAGATCTGATAGATATCTCATCAGATTCTGGCTCTCCAGAGAAGAAGAGCTATCCTGAGTTTTATGAGAGGAAGGAAACTGATCAACAGAGAAAGAAACATTTTGAAAAATGGAGAAGATGTAATATTTTACTCAAATTTGTCTTTATAATGCAGATCATTAACCTTCGTATAGTGGTTGATGAAGAGGAGCTAGCACAGAAAAAGCAGCTATTTGATACAGATGTGAGACATAGATACGCCAAAGACAGCCATACTCCAGGAAAGATATCAAATTCTAAACCTAAACTCTCAGACGAAAAGGATATAGAAGAGTATGTCAAGCAAGATAAAGAGAGAAGAGCTTTCCTGTACAAGCATACACAATCAAATAAAGACTCAAAGATAGACAATGATATCCAGAATATGGAGAAGCTTTTTAACAAGGATTTCAAGGATCTAGAGCATCATCGGAAAGATAAGAGGCTTTCTGAAAAAGACATGAAATATCAGAGATCTCTATCACTTTCTCATTCTCACTTTAAGAGAGATATTTCAAACGAAAGCATTGCAGAGAAGGAAAAGTATGACCGTGAAAGAAGAAATAGATATGAGCATAGAAGGAATGACGGACCTTTCGTGAAGAAGATACTAGATCTCAAACTCTTCTCCAAGCCAAAAGTCTCATCCAAAGAAATTCCAATTAAATTTGATGACTACATGCAATACTACAAAGTCTGGATGCCACTTTTCGAGTATGAAGTCTATTCTCAACTAATAAGTATGAGAAAAGAAGGATCTAAATCTAAGCTTGCAGATGTCTGCTACACTGCGAGTCTTGCAAACTACACAAGTAAGGAACCCTCGTCTAATCTATAGTCCAAGGAATGCTGAAGAGCCCAGACAGACTATTCTTCTCACTCTTAATGTGAGCTCCAAACAATGAAATTGTTAAGGTAAAAATTTTCTTCAAATTTTAGTATGAAAACAGAGCTCCTCAAAAACTTAAAACAAGGAAATCTATACAGAAAGAGAGGTTCTCCAATAATTTAGAATGGAGCAAGATCTTCAACCAAGTTAGAGAAAACGATCTAATTTACCTCTCCAATAAGAGACTTGAAAAGAAAGAGGAGAAATTTAACTTTGCTGCAATGAAACCATACAATCTTTTCCAATTCTGTAACCCAGAATTAGGAGGAGCCCTTGGAGTTGTCAACAAAAGAATGAAGAAGTCTGGCAACGTAATAGAGGTGAAATTCAGTTATGATATCAAAGACCCTCTGACTTCTCTCTGCAAAAGAATGCAGGACGATAACCAAGACTTCTTTGTTTATTACATCACAAATCTCTCTACTGTAATCAGAGAATATCTTGCTTTGAAATCTATAGAATTCAGTAAATTTGTGAATGCAATCTTAGATCCTCTAAAGTACAAAGAGATTCTTTCCAAAAGAATGACTTTGAGAGAACTGAACAATAAGAAATACAACGATTCCCAAAATGAAGCCTTGAGATATGTAGCTTCAATGAATACCGGAGGCCTTAGTTTGATCCAAGGGCCTCCAGGAACAGGAAAGACTCATACAATTCACGGGATCCTCAACATGTTTGTTGAGACTAGAGTTGAGCCTAATTTCAAGATCCTGGTATGCACTCCCTCGAACGCAGCCTGAGATGAGCTCGTCAGCAGACTTGGAAGGTAAGGAAACTATTAACTCTTATAGAGAAACCGAGCGAAGGCAAGGACTCGTCTACAAAATGGTGAGAATTGGAGCATTTGATTACGAGCCTCCCATGATAGTCAAAAAGTACACCCTTGATGAAATGGTTAAAAGAGAACTCAAAAAGACAGGAAGGAAAATAGATTTCACTGACATAGACAAGAAGTGCAAAGAAATGGACATTCTTGGGGTAGAAATGGATAAAATTGAGAAAAACATCAAGAAGTCAACAGAAGAAGAGAAAGTAGATCTGAAGCAAAAGCATGAGCAGATCAAAATTAAAAGAGGAAAACTAATGGGTGAGACTAATCTTCTGAGACAGCAAAAGAGTCAATCTAAGATAAACGCAAGTTCGATCGAAGAAAGTATTGTCAGGCATGCAGATTTCATATTCACTACCTTATCCATGTCTGGAGTTGAGCTTTTAGATAAAATGGATTTCAAGTAGGTTCTTTAAACTAACTATAGATTCTCACATTTGATCATTGATGAGGCTTCTCAAGCCACAGAAATTTCAGCCTTAATTCCTTTCTGCCACGATGTGAACAAAGTAATTTTAGTTGGAGATCAGAACCAGCTTCCTGCCACCGTATTCTCTGAGAATGCTGAAAAGACTTTATTCAACAGATCTTTATATGAAAGGTTTCTGGGCAACGAGATAGAATGTTTTACTCTCAATATTCAGTACAGAATGCAGAGTATAATCAGAGAGTTTCCAAACAACCAGTTCTATGATGGCAAAATTGTTGATGACCCTTCAATAAACAAGAGAATCCTAGATAGAACAAAAGAGAAATGCCCTAAGCTTGCCTTCTTCAACCTCGAGTTTACTGAATGAGATGGAGGAGTCTCAAAATCTAACCGCAAAGAAGCTGAATTTGTTGCAGGGCTTTTCATGGAACAACTTTTCATTAGAGGAGATGGAAGTTTCGGACAAGGGTTAGAAGCAATAACTGGAAAAGTTGGAGTAATCACACCTTACAGAAAGCAGTCAGATGTTATCAAGGACTGACTTATTGAGGCTCTACTTGAAGTTGCCCAGGAGCATCCATCTTTTCATCTCAAGAATCCTAATTTTCTTAAAGAAGGAGCTAAAGAAGAAATCAATAAGATCATTCAAGTCTCTACAGTTGATTCCTTCCAAGGAAAAGAGAAAGATACCATAATTATAAGTCTAGTCAGAGTTTCAAAAGCATCTGAAACTAGCATTGGATTTCTTCATGATTACAGAAGAATGAATGTTGCCTTGACAAGAGCCCAAAACTTTCTTTGGGTAATTGGCCATGCTCCAACACTAAACTCTAACAAAAACTGGGGGGATTTCATCAGATTTTGTTTCAAGAAGAGATGAGTTAAAACGATCTCTAAAGAGCCACCAGCTTATAAGATTGTTAATGGTGAGAAAAAGTCAAGATATTGTTTCAGTGAGATTGGGCCTATAGATGAAAGTCCAAACAAAAAGAAAAGGAGGAGAAACAGAAAGAAGAAGTCAAATACCAGAAAAGCTCATACTATCATCAATATTCCAGATTCTGACACCCAAGCGACGTCTAATCCTCAACAAGAGGCTATTCTGATCGAAGAAGATGTTCCCCAAACACTTAGCAAATTCAAATAAAGTAGCGAAGAAGACATAATTTATGCAAAATTTACTTGAAAAGCTCTAATAAATTGTCAATATCTAAACTTTGTTCAATTCATCAATGGTTTAGAGGGGTTTTGGGGTTTTGGGGTTTTGGGGTTTTGGGG